TATCCAAAATTTCCTGACTGCTCATGAATATTTTTTTGTAGTTAGCTCGCTAAAATCAGGGCCCAAATACAACCCAAACATTGCAAAGTTGATATGTCAGTCCTCAGTTTTTGTCAGAGTGGCTAAAATGAGCAAATCAGAGAACTCTAGATGCTGGTGAGGATGTGGAGAAACGGGCACCCTCCTACACTGTTGGTGGGAATGTAAACGGGTACAGCCCCTCTGGAAAACAGTGTGGAGGTTCCTAAGGAAACTAACAATAGAACTCCTCTAGGACCCAGCAATAGCACTGCTAGGAATTTACCCAAGGGATACAGAAATGCTGAGGCATAGGAGCACATGGACCCCAATGTTCATAGCAGCACTCTCCACAATAGCTAAAACATGGAAAGAGCCTAAGTGTCCATCAACAGATGAATGGATCAAGAAGATGTGGTTTATCTATACCATGGAATACTACATGGCAATGAGAAACAATGAAATCTGGCCATGTGTAGCAACATGGATGGACCTTGAGGGTGTTATGCTGAGCGAAGCAAGTCAGGCAGAGAAGGACAAATATCATATGTTTGCACGTATAGGAGGATTAGGAGGAACTTGACGGAGGACCAAGGGGGAGAAGAAGGGTGCACTGCTGTTTCTTTTCCTTGGTCTTCAGTGTAGTTTGTTTCTACATCTCAATCTCTAGAGCTCAGTTCCTCTGCCCATGGCTTTCTATTGCTAAATCTTAGCTATTGCTTTAAAAAAGTGATACAGAATGTGAGCCCCAAATGATAAAGGATGTTAGTTCTTAGGGAAAAGTTAAACATCAGTCAGTGTAACACTCCTAGACTGATATTTTCCAATCGAATGCTGGAAGATATTTTGTGAAAAATATTGTGGTCAAATAATATTAAGAAAACCCTTGAGTGAATAAACACAAACCATTTTTTTTACAGTGTAAATTAACGCTAAATCTAAAGGAGGGGTATGGTAATCAATGTTTCCTAAACTTATGTGACTGTAGGGGCACCTGGGTGGCTCAGTCAGTTGAGCCTCCGACTTTGGCTCGGGTCATGATCTCACGGTTCATGGGTTCGAGCCCAGTGTCGGGCTCTGTGCTGACAGCTAGCTTAGAGCCTGGAGCCTGTTTTAGATTCTATGTCTCCCTTGCTCTTTGACCCTCCCCTGCTCATGCTGTCTCTCTCTCCCTCTCTCTCTCTCTCTCTCTCAGAAATAAATAAAACATAAAAAACAACCCACTTATGTGACTATGACCCTACCCTTATAATGATGCTTATTAAAATTCTTTCACAATGTTCCATGGAACACACTTTGGGAACACTGGAAAACTGGGTCTCAATGAAGGCAAGACTCGCGATCTTTCTTGTGTTTACAGTCTGGTAAGGACATATTTTGTCTTGCTTGACTACTTTATACAGAATAGGTCTTAATTTACTTGGGGAAAAAAAGAAGAGGAAGAGAAATCTCCAACTCTCACCTGAGTTTGAGCTCAGCTTTCCTATAGTATAACTGCATTGCTCTTTGGAAATATCTTGTCATCAATACACAGCAGTGATGTCAACTTCCTCTCAGCTAGCTGTCCCTAAACCTCCCTCTCCCCTTGGGCAATAGTACAATGTCTACTTTTTAGCAATGGATTCTGGAATAAGGACTATTTATCAACATGGTAGCCATTGTCTTTCAGTGTATAGCACTGTGGAGGGCAGAAATTCATTGGTCCTTAGAAATATGCAGGAATGCCTTCTGAGGAGAATGAAAGATATTAACTCTTGATTACTTTCCAGAAACACAACGGGCTCATGTTTGATTGCATTTGGAATTCCTGCGGCACCTGTATCCCCTTAAACAATGTTTCCTTCATTCCCTGAGTGAATGTTTATCAAATATGCTGTGGGCTGCACTCTGGGCTCTCTGTTTAGCTTGAAGATATGTCATTGTTCCTCTTCTGGAAGAGCCTCATTGTGGGGAGTGGCATTAGTCACACAAACAGATCATTATAACCCAGTGTGGGTTGTGCAGCGATGCTTTACACAGGGAGGTAGGCAGCACATTGGCAGTCTGATTTTTATCAACCTTGCAGCTCATAAGGCATTTTAAATTCTCAAGTCTGGGGACAATGTCTCCTATATTTCTTCCATCCACATGGCATGGATTGAATTGGAATACAGTCAGCATTGACAAGATTCTTACTGGGAAATTCACCTACACCTGTGTTCCAGAAACCACACATTCTGCTTGTGTTCTGAATATCTAGCCAATTCTCTTATCTTGTTTTCCTTCCTTTGTTAGGGAGAAATCATACAGATATAAACCAGATGAGTTCTATAGTGTGGTTTGATGGCACCGAGTGTGAGAGAAACAAAATACCGTTGTGGCCACCTGCCAAAATGCCCTTCTGTGACCATCAAAGCTAGACACTGTCACACAAGGTCTCTTGAGCATCTGGAATCGATTCCTTTTGTGATGGGTATATTTTCTATGCAAGGGAAGTTCTAGATTTAGGAAAGTTGGAGTAAGAAATGTTTAACCTCCTCACGAAAAATGACTCACAATTAAGAGGTCCTTTACTGCAGCTGTGGGTCACATGAAATGTTCACAAATGGTCAGTGAATCTGCTTATTGACGTTTATGACTTTAGCAGTCAAGTCACGGAATGTTCTTCAAACTCCCGACAGAAATTACCCTTGAAAGTTGGTTCAGAGCAAAAACCCCTAACTGGCCAGTAAAGCCCAAGTGATTTTTGTTTCACATATGGGGAGTCATTTCTTACATCAATCACAGAGGCTTAGCCTTCAATCTAATGCTAGATAAAAATGTTAATAGTATAGTGATAGCCAGTAAGACCATTTTAATTTTATGTTGCATGTTTCCTCTGACAAAAACTAAATTTCTCCTAATTAGTATCTGTACAAAATTATAAGCCTTGTGCAGCCTTCAATATAGAGAGTTATATTTGCACGTGCATTCATATGTACCTTTACCCCCTACTCACATAGCCCCAAACTGGATTTATGTGTCTACAACTACTTACATACTGTTCCCAAAGCCTTCTTTTTATGAATGGTAGGGAGTCCTAATTGATCATATTGAGCAGGGAAATGCTAAGTGGGTGATTTGGGCCATTGCTGTTGAGAATGGCCTATCACTACATTTTAAAAGTAACTTAGTTAAAAGGAATAAAACTTATTTTAACTTTCCACTGGGGGTAGAACAGGATCTTTAATGATAGAGTCACTCTTGGGACTGGGGTTCCATGGAAGGGATAGCTTATAATAAATGGAAATGGTAGTTAGAATATTTTGAGTTTACTCCATGGAACAAATCATTGATTCCCTATCATTTCTGAGACAGATGTAACTTCGCTCATCCTTTGGCCTCATCCCTTCACCCTGCAGATTGTGTACTTGCTATTATGCTTCTCCTTTTAGTCACAAATGGGCTTAAATCACATTATTTTTTGTTGTCCTCTTCTATTTTCAAATGATTCACATTTTGAATAGGTCAATAATAACAATGGAAAAGAATGGTAATGATAATATTGGGGGCGGGGATAAAGTACAGTACTTTGACACGCACTACCCTGTAACCGAGCTTCTCTAAGCTTTGGAAGGAGAGCAGGGACAGTAGCAATATCCCTGCTGTGTGCATGAAGATACCAAAGCCTAGCGACCCTCAGTGAGTCTCCTAAGGTCTCACCACCAGGACCAAGAATTGCTCAGTCTTAATCCTCGCTGCTGTGTTTCAGATGCTCGTTCTACCATCCCTTGTTGTTTTCACTGGGTACCCGGCATGCACACGTGCAGCCTACGTGATTGGTATGTGTAGAGTATTCAAGCGACCCTACTTAAAGGCAACGGGATAATCAGTAAGGACTGACCCGAAGAGACATAGCTCTCTGCCCACAGGAACAGCAGGTTACAACACGGGCAGGGAGCCCAGAATGTGTCTCCTCTCAGGAAGACGGACAGGAATCTCTCTGGAGACCGGCCAGGAGGCCAGAAGGTCTCCCAGAGGGTCAAGAAGGCTGCCAGGAGGAATCTATAATGCTTCCATTTTAGGTTTAAAAGACATTATAGTCACAGCAGGCATATCTTGTACTCTACACGATGTCGACAGAAATGCACATATATTGGCTTCCATGTAGATAGATGGCATCTTGCTGTGAAGGGTGAATCTACAGGCAGTTTTCTAGTTTTAACTTTCGGTCAACCCAATCAACGTAAACCTCTCAGCAGTGTATGTGGGATGACAGATACTTCCAGATCTTGCTGATTGTACTAGCCGGCTAATTAATTCAGGCATAAGTCATGGTTGGACTGTTCTGCCTCTGTATGCTTGGATTTTCCCTACGGCTGACTGTGGCAGAGGATGCTAACACATCCACCCTTCCTTCTTCCTTCAGTCATAGAACGCTGACAGCCATGGCAACATTAAAAAACCGTCTTCCATATTCTGCCTTGCAGCTGGGGGTGGCTGTATGGGTATGTTTTGGTCAACAATAGGCTGGCGGAAGTATTCTGTGGAGGTGTGGGGATCTTTCCTTTAAAGATGGTTGGACTTGCCTTCTTGCTGCCTGGATGTGGGTATGACAGTTGGAGCTGTAGAACTTCTCTTGAGTCGGTTAAATCTCAATCGGTTAAGTGACTGACTTCAGCTCAGGTCATGATCTCGCGGTTAACAGGTTTGAGCCCCGCATCGGGCTCTGTGCTCACAGCTCAGAGCCGGGAGCCTGTTTCAGATTCTGTGTCTCCCTCTCTCACTGCCCCTCCCCCACTCACATACTTCCTCTCTCTCCCCTCCACCTCTCTCTCAAAAATAAACATGAAAAAAAAAATTTAGAACCTCTCTTGAAAGCTTGAGGACAAACGCAACATCCCAGGAATTGATGAGTGGGAGAGTAAGGAGCCTGAGTTACCAACAACTCTGAGGAGCTGCTGTGGCAGCCATGGACCGGGACCTCCAGACTTATTTCATGTGTTAATGACATAAGCTTCTACCTTGTTGAAGCCAGCATGTTCCCATTACAGTGGGACCTTATGTCGATTGATACATGGATGGGCACATGGTGACAGAGATCTGAAAAATGGTAAAGAAAAAAAAAAGGAAGAGGAAATAATTTGAGGAAGTCTAACAACAAAAGAGAATAAGCAAATTGTATAATTGGGCAATATTTAATTCTGCTGTTTTCCAATACTTTCTTCTTTTTCTTTTTCTTTCTTTTTTTTTAAAATATTTTTTATTTATTTCTAGGAGAGAGAGAGAGACAGCGTGAGCAGGGAAGGGTCAGAGAGAGAGGGAGTCACAGACTGAAACAGGCTCCAGGCTCTGAGCTGGCAGTCAGCACAGAGCCCAACGCGGGGCTCGAACCCACGAACCGCGAGATCATGACCTAAGTGAAAGTCGGATGCTTAACCGACTAAGCCACCCAGGCGCCCCTTCTTTTTCTTTTTTTAAATGTTTATTTTTGAGACAGAGAGAGACAGAGCATGAGTGGGGGAGGGGCAGAGAGAGAGGGAGACACAGAATCCAAAACAGGAGCCAGCACAGACCATGAGATCTGACCTGAGCTGACACGGGGTGTGAACCCACAGACCGTGAGATCTGACCTGAGCTGAAGTTGGACGCTCAACCGACTGAGCCACCCAGGCACCCCCAACACTTTCTAGTGCTACCCTTTGCCCTAGAGTTTGAACACCCCTGATGGCAGGAACGATATACAGAATAAAGTGTCAAATTACCAGCTTCTGAAGGTTTATATAGACTTTTAAGAGCCTATAGAAGAGACAATAATATATTTAAAAAATTACTCAACTTTTATTAAGAATTTACAACTCCTTCACCTGCAGGCATAGTACTGTAGTAAACCCTAAGTACTCATCACTCAGTCCCCAAAACCACCAGTCCATGGTTAACCTTGTTCCACCTAGAACTCCATCTTCTTCTCCTTTCTCATTACTTTTTTAAAGAAGAAACCGCAAATTTTGTAGTAATTTTACATTTTTAGAAAACTTGCAAAGATAGCACAGAGAATTTACACATGCCTTCATTCAGTTTTTCTTGTTGTTAAATATCTTACCTTTCCATAGTATACTCGTCAAAATGAAGAATGAATTTTGATATATAACTATTAATTAAATTTAGACTTTATTCTGATTTCACTAGTTTTTTTTCCAGTAATTTTCTTTCTCTGTTCCAGATTCCAATCCAAGATGCTCATTATTGCCTTTAGCCCTGTGTTAGTTTGAAGAGTTTAAAAATTTTAAAATAATTATGTTTATTTATTTTTGAGAGAGAGAGAGATAGAGTGCGAGTTGGGGAGGGGCAGAGAGAGGAAGACAGAATCCAAAGCAGGCTCCAGGCTCTGAGCTGTCAGCACAGAGATTGAAGCAGGGCTCGAACCCATGAGTATGAGATCATGACCTGAGCCAAAGTCAGACATTCTATTGACTGAGCAAGCCAGGTGCCCCTATCCCTGTGTTATTTTGAAGCATACTGTAGGTATTACATATTTTCACCAGTAAATGCTCTAGTACACATCCCTAAAAGACAAAGACTCTTTAATGCAACTGCAATGTTATCATTATGCCTCCAAAATATCAATTCCTTAATAACATCTGCATCTAATCAAACAGTTTCTTATATGTACCATGTCCTTTTTTAAAATGCTCTTTTTTTCTAATCTTGGATCCAAACATGACCCAAATATTATGATTGGTTAATATGACTTTAAATCTCTTTTATTGTACAGATTTCCTTTCCTTTCCTTGCCTTTTCTCTTTGCAATTTATTTGGTGAGGAAACTGGGTTATTTTTCTTTTCGTTTCACTATCTGGATTTTGTTGATTCTATCCTCAAGGGGTGGTTTTCCATGTTCCTCTGTCCTCTGCCTCCTGTAAAATGGCTGTAGAGCTTGATCAAATTCATTCATTCATTCATTCATTCATTCATTTATTCAATTCATTTTGGCAAGAATATTTTATAGGTGATGGTGGTGTTTCTCCACCAATAGGCACACACTCTCTGGCTATCTCTCTTTTTGTGTTGTTTGTGGAGGTTGATGTCCTTTGTTAGAGATCTCAAACTTATGATATTGTTATTCTAACATTTATTATTAATTTGTAAGCTGAAATATATGTCCCCTCCTATTAATTGGTTATTTTGGCCCACATCACATGAGAAGGCAAGAATAAATACTGATTCTTTACCTTTATTTACCACTTTAAAAAATAGTGAGTTGATCTCTTAGCATCGTTTAATGCTGACCAAAGTCTGGGAGAACAAGTGTTTTTTAGGTGAAAGAGCTGAATGCTTAGGGGTGCCTGGGTGGCTCAGTTGGTTAAGTTCCTGAATCTTAGTTTCAGTCATGATCTCACGGTTCGTGGGTTCGGGCTCTGCATTAGGCTCTGTGCTGACTGTGCAGAGCCAGCTTGGGATTCTCTCTCTCTCCCTCTCTCTCTTCCTTTCCCCTGCTTGCTCTTTCTCTCTCTCAAAATAAATAAACTAATTTAAAAAAAGAGCTGAATGCTTCAACAAAGAGTAGTTTTTCAGTATTTCTACATTTCTCAGCTTGAGAGCCCAAACAACCTATATGTAAATAAAAGAAGTAACAATAAAAAAGAAATAACATATTATATATATATATATTACAAATAAAATACAGTCCCATGAGACATTGTTCAGGGGAAATGAAACAGTAGCTTTCTTTCCCTAATTTAACAGAAAGCGAGGAGCATTAGCGAACAGAGTAGAGACCAGGTACTGACAGGATCCTGAGAAGAGGTGTGAAAGCCCCCAGTGTGTGTGCTTGTGCATGTGTGTTTGTGTGTGTGTGTGTGTGTGTGTGTGTGTGTGTGTGTGTGAAGGAAACATGCAGGTAAATTTGGAGGAATCTGAGAAGGGCAGACCTTGTGCCTAAGCTCTCAAAGGGTAGCTGGAAGAGCTTTAACTTCTCAGAGAATCCTCAGCACCAGTCTGGTCCTGGGGAAGCTGGTATTTGTTGGCAGCTTGGTGAGGAGGCTGGCACCTAGGCATGAAGGCCTAGGAGCAGCCCCTTCGAGTCCTATGGCCCCAGAGCAGTGTGGGGAGGGCGCTGGGACCCACAGGTGGTGACAGGACTGGGCTGTGGGGCTGGAGGAGGCCTCACGGTCAGTTGTGAACATCTGAGAACAGGTGACTGCACTGGCCATTTCACATCCAGGTAGGCAACCTACACCCGACAGAGCTCCAGACACCGAAATTTGATTAGAGGTAGCGATGGGGAGAGCCTAGCATTGGATGTGACCAGCTAGCACCCAGAAGAGATTAACTTTTTTTTCTTTGTTGAAATAAATTTAGCTCGTGACTTCTCACAGATTAGCAGGAAAAACTTCATCTCTCCGGTATAAAGTTCCATTCTAGTAAGTTGATGTTTGTCACAGAGACACGGAGAAGGTAAGATCACGGTCCTTCCAGGACTGTAAATTTAAATCTCTCTATACACACATAAGTGGTTTGATGTTTGAAAGGAAAGGCTACTTGAGTACCAGAAGGCTGTCTATGAGCCAGGAAGCTGGCCTTCATCAGCTACTGCATTTGCTAGTGGCTGGATTTTGGAATTCTCAGACTCCCAAAATGTGAGAAATAAATACTTCTTCTTTTTTTTAAAGTTTGTTTGTTTACTTATTTATTTGAGACCATGAGCAGGGGTGGATGGGGTGGGGAGGGCGGGGAGGGAGGGAGAGAGAGAGAGAGAGAGAGAGAGAGAGAGAGAATCCCAAGCAGCCTCTGAGCTGACAGCACAGAGTCCAACTCAGGGCTCAAACTCATGGACTGTGAGATCATGACCTGAACCAAAATCACCAAAATCAATAGTCAGATGCTTAACTGATTGAGCCAACCAGGTGCCCCTGAATGTGTCTTATTTATGTCACCCAGTCTATGGTCATTTTGCTCTATCAGCTCGAAGGGACATGATTATTTGCAAGCTTCACGTGTATGGACTACCCTTTTGGTCTCTAGGGTTCATCTCTCCATTTGTCAAATGAAGGGAATTTGAACTAAAGCCCCAGATAGGCTGCACCATGATTCTGTAAGTCCAAGTTGCTTGCCCTCTTAGGTAGCTTTGGGAGGTTCTTTCTTCCACAGATAGCTATAGTTTTGCCCATGTCATATTTAGTAAACCAGGCATTTCCCCCAGGATGGCAGACAGCTACTGTTAATCTGCTGACCTTGAGTGTGAGGAACTTTTCTTTGTCCCCTCAATCCAAACAAAAAGGTCTTATTGCACTTGCCACTCTTAGTTCCTGGACTATCTGGCCATGAGAATGGTCACGTGTCTCAGGTCAACCAATAAGAATCTCTCTGAGATTTTTTGTTTCTTTTGTTTTTTATTTACAACGGGATGAAAGACCATTTTTCCCTCTAATGACAGAGCTGGGAAGATGGGAGATACCAGTAGTTATGGCTTTGGCCTCGAAGAAAACTTTGGCATGCAGGGAATCTTCAGAGAGGCACACAGAATCCTAGTTTATCTGAGTCCTCCTTCCTTTGGCTCTAGGCTTTATACCATCTTTACTGAGATTGGGATATGCCAACAACAAAGATGTCTATGGCATAAAAAAGATGAAACTTACTTTTGTTTGTAACCAAAAGAGCACCAATTAAACTAGTTAATGGAATTCAAGCCAAAGTCTAGCACACATGGGCCAAAAACTGGGGAGGCATGTGAAGTGGCTTAGCATACCTTTCTGAATAATACAAGTGCTCCTTATCGAATGACAGAATATTGGCCCCACTGTCACTGTGGAAAAATACATTTTAGATAAAGGAAAGAGGTGGGCTAATTTAGTTCAAGTTCTTTGCACAAACATTTTGAGTTGGTGTTCTGTTTACCCATGAAATCCATTGTGTACCCTAGTCCTCAAAGCTCTGTGGCCCAGAAAGACTGCAATATATGGCATTCTTTACATATCCTTTGAATAATCCCCCAGCCTGAAGGTAATCCATGTATATATTTTCTGGGCGACTACAAATAATACAATGAATATAACCAAGATCAGTAATTCTTAAGGGTACTATCTCAGTCACTATAAACCTCT